ATCTTATCAGGTATAATCGTGTAATAAACTAATAGTTCAAAGCAAATCACAACAAGAACACCCAATAAAACGTTTTATCAGTGAGAAACATCAACGAATACAGCTATCGTTGCATCGGGTATGGTTAAACTAGGTCACCGTAACGGTGCACATGGACTGCTCTTGTTGATTATCATTCTCATCTACGAGTAACTCGATTGTACTATTCGTGTTTGATGTACGTGAACTTTTTATATCTAATTTTGGTAAAAAATACGGTTTACTTCGGTGTTTTGTTTTTTCAAATGGTTTCATTAAGGTTTCAAAATGTCTTTGATTGTACTCTTGCTGATTCTTTTTATGCCGCGAACACGGTTTTCTCAACGGATTCGATATCAGTTTATAATAGGCTGCTAATGCTGAATTACTCTCTTGTATTGGACGATTTAGTTTGACATCATTACGAAATTTTATTTTCATGTTGTAACGTGAATCAAATGACGATATAAGACGATCAATTTTCTCTTCTTCTAATCGTTTCCATTTTTGACGAATTGATTCGAATGATAAACGTTGGTATTCTTGAGATGTTGAAAGAAAACTGTTAATAGATTCAGCTTCAATCAATGAACGATCACCCCAATCCTTGTTTAGTATTCGAGGTGTATCGTAAGAAATATTTAATGGAGGTAATTGACCCTAGACCAAAAGATGAATAAACTTAGTATTACAATAACTGTTCTTAGCTTCACTCGTGAATGTGTCTTATGAAATAGAATAATAAACTTATACTTGCCGATGGACTACACTATAGTGACTTTTAAAGTAATTAAACAATACCTACTGTCTTCAAAATAGAGAAGGGTTAGTGCCAAAAAAAAATTACCTTCACTGGTTGTTTTATGCGTGGAAGCAAATTACTTGTGCTAAATTCTTGTAATTGATCATTTTTTGATGTATATAACCATCCACCACCTCTTGCAACTTTCGACATTCTTTTTTTAATTATTGTGTTTAATTACTGCTGTATGCATCACAACCTTTAGTATTTTACCTTTTTGATGTTTACACTCTCTCTCTTATGAAGTGCCTTTATAAAAAGGAGAAGAAAAACAGCACATACACACTTGTAAACGGCTGACATAATGGTATTAATTTGACAACTTAAAGTTAAAAGGGAATCTTAATTTCGTTGTTAAATTGAAATCAGTAGGACGTCATAAGTAGTTAGTTATCAGAAGTCAGTGTGTAAATGCAATAAAAAACGTTGCAGAAGGTTGGTAATAGACATCTTGTATTATTATTAGACTGAAAATACAACTACAAACGCATCAGGTTATACAAAGCATGTGATTCACTTTACTATTAACAGAATAATTGCTTAACAAGAAAGTTTTATAAGAAAAAGTACATAAAACAAAAATGTACTTAAGTAAAACGAAAGCTGCCACTATCGGGAGCGTGTTATAGGTGAAAGAAGTTTCGACAAATTCACTGTGATTTTCGATTTCAGCTACTAGTTACTTAAACAGATTCAAGAAGTATCTTTTCACAGTATGAATCAGTGGCAAGAGTAACACATAGACGTTTTGACGCTGTAGGTATAGGGATCTCAATACTGGATAGAGTGAACCTCTTTTAGATGGATACGTAAACGAAAGAAATGAATAAATTCTCCTAAAGAAGAAACTGTCGTTTTCCTTTCTTCTTGATTCATAAAAGAGAGGGATCAATAAATATCGTAAAGAAAAACTTAATGTTCTGCTTATGAATATTCCAAATAGTTTCAGTAATCAATGAGTTTATGTGTCTTCAGTCTCCATTCTCATTTTAAAGAACAAATCTTCTTTGTCTTATTTTTTTCTTCTTTCGTTTATGGTCACTTCATTTCTCTTTCCAGTGCTTTTTAAAATGACATTTTTCTTTCTATAAAGAAATTTATTCAAAATAAATGGCGCCGAACAAAAAAATATGTAAAAAGATTTTCGAAATCCAAAACACATTTTTCTTCCATTTGTTTAGGTTATGGTGCCGATTATGGACTTTTATTTGAAGAAAGAGCATGCACTGGTCATTCTTCAGTACCTGGAGAATGTCCTGCCGCTTTCAGAAGTTTCTTTCTAGTTTTGTAGATCACGTCGTGCACATTTGGTAGAAAAGATTACTAAACATAAAAAACAAAAACATAATTCCTGCAAAAGGTCATAATGTCTGTCGACATAAAAATGTACTTAAGTTAAACGAAAGCTGGTACTATCGGGAGCGTGTAATAGATGAAAGAAGTTTCGGCAAATTCAGTTGTCGAAAGTAGAAAATATATGAACGACCATCTAACTTTGTTACTCAAGTGAAACTCTGTAACGTTTTTTATCTATTGTTGCTCTTATATTTTCGAACGGCGAGATACCCAGTGCTCTAGAACATTTCAAATAAAGGAGACAAGTGTAACCACACTCTCTACACGATCTTTTGTTTAGAAAAAGTTAATAAAAATAGAAACATCCAGTTTTCAAAACTGTGTGGATACACTTGAAAATCTTTA